GTTAAATGTAATCCTGAGTATCATGAGCTCTACCTTTTATAAACGCTCCTCTTTCTGTCCATCTTCAGCAGTTTCAGGTAGTTGCCACTGAAAAGGTGAACCCTTTAGCCATAGAGGCAAACGTCGACGATGCTCTGGCCACAGAAAAACTGGACGGGACCTGCTGCTACGTTACTACGTATCAAGGTGATCAGGATGATGCTTCTTGTTTCAGTCTTTAAGAAAAAAACAAGTGAGCAAATGTTTAATAATGAATGTTGTCGTCTTGTTATCAGGTCAGCCGTACCTCTGGGCCCGGTTTGACAGGAAGCCCAACAAGCAGGCAGAGAAGAGGTTTAAGAAGCACCAACATGCTCACAGGAGCTGTAAAGGTAGCGTCTTTGTAGTGGAGCATGGGCGGTTCTACACAGTGGCCAACGGGGGCCAGTGCCCCTGTAGCTCATGTCCTGGTCCCTGTTTGGCCCCTGTACTAAAGGCATAATACTAAGAGAAGTTCTAATGATGATATGCACTGGAGCAGACATGGTTACTGGAAGGTCCTTTGGATCTATTTACATTTTTTTTCTTTATAAATTATGTTTTACTAATTATTTAAAAAGAATAAGGGGGTAGCTTCAGTGGTATTGAGATAGGAGCCCAGTTTGCATCTGTTAAATGTTTTTTAAAAAACAAATTAAGAAAAATACTAATAATTTTTTACAGCTGAATTTATTAGTTTTGCTTAAGTTCTAATTCTGATTTTATAGAAAAATGTTATTTTAACTTACATAAAGTAAAAAATATGTAACATTCCTAAATTCTGATTGTATATTGACCTAATAAGACAGAATTTTAATTAAACCTAATAGAATAGAAATTTATCTTCTTGCAGCTATCTTAATATATTTGAATCACTTTCCCTTTTTTTTTTTCATGTTTTTCTTTCCCCCATGAAAACACGTTGGCCCCCTCCTGGCCCCCTGGTACATTTTGGTCTAGAACCGCCACTGTAGTGGAGCAAACATGTTCCTCTGTTTTGAGTTTTTTTTTTTTCTCACTTGGTGTTTCTTCCAGGCTTCTCCTGGAACGTGGAGGAAGACTTTAAAACCGTGCCTGAGACGTGGATTCCTGCTCACAGGGTCAAACATCACAACGGACATCCCGTTCCTGATGAGCACGGACATATCCCAGGTTCTTTGATATCCTTTGTCTTCCAGTTTTGGGTTAAAAAAAGTTGATTAAAGCTTCTTTCAATGAAAGGGTTTTTTTTTTAATCAGAGAAAAGATATCAAGTGTGCGAAAAACCTCTTCAGTACTGAGACCCATTAGGAAATAAGAACTGGTACATCCTTGCAGCTTGCAGCAGGTTTAGGAGGGACGGCGTGTCCAATGTGATGGCATTCAAACACCTGATCAAAGATTTTTGGCTATTTGATGCTCCGAAGCATAACAGGTGTGTTTAACACATCTGTGAAGATCCTCAGTCATCCAGGTCATGATCAAGCTTGAAAAGCTCAGTCTAGGCAACTGGAGGTGAAGTTCCCTAGAAGTGGTTTCGCCTCTCATCCAAGAGGCTTCTTTAGTTCTGATAGTGGGGAGCACTGAGAATAATATACTGTAGGTGTAACAAAATAATAAAAACAAAACAAAAACAAAAGGTGGCTTTGATCTCTGCTACTGGATGGGCTATGGAGCTCCCCCTGTGGGGGGTGTTAATGGTTGATGGAGGTGGTGGTGGGTTTTGATCACTCTTTAACTTTAACACAGATGGTAAAGTGTCAGAAACTGTTGCTACGCATCTTTCTGTAAAAGTCATAGGCTGTGTTCGCTTGTTCTAATTACTATATAGTGTTACACCATTTTAAATGAGTGTCCGAACGTCTAGTGGATGAAAAGTAGTGGACTCCAGATTTTCCACACTGCCCCTTGTAACACAGTGATCATCCATGGTCACTAGACGAGCAGATATATCCCAAAATGTTTTGGGAGGAGAGCTCTCCTTGCAAAGCATCATGGGATTTGCGGCCTGCAAATAACAAAGATGCCATAGGCATCATGCAGGGGGTTATGTGACTAACAGGGAGCGAAAAGTAGTGATCATCTGTCTGAACGGGGAGTTAACTAGGTTCACTATAATGTCCACTATATAGTCCCTGCTCCATATATTGACTGAGAGATTTAGGGGATTCAGACGTTACATCCCCCCTAATCACTATATAGGGCACTATTTATTGTTAGGCAATTTTAAATGAGTGTCTGAATGTCTACTTGATGGAAAAAGTAGTGGACTCCAAATTTTCCACACTGCTCCTTGAAAAGTAGTGATCATCAATGGTCACTAGATGAGCAGATATATCCCAGAATGCTTTGCAAGAGCTCTCCTCACAAAGCATCATGGGATTTGATGTAGTGGCGGTAAATAACAAATATGGCACAGGCAGGGGGAGGTGGAGTTACGTGACCAACAGGGAGCGAAAACTAGTGATCATCTGTCTGAACGGTCAGTTAACGGAGTTCACTACAAAGTCCACCATATAGTCCCCACTGTATATAGTGATTGAGGGATTTAGGGGTTAGGGCAGATGTTTTGTTAATGAGGAAAAAAAAGGTCAATATAGAAAAGAAACTTTGAAAAAAAAAATTTTATCAAAAAAGGTTTTGGTCAATTTATTTTCAAATTTTTTTTTTTCTGTTTATAGATCTTTTTAATTTATTTCCAATTAAAATCTGTAGAGAGGGGAAGAAAAAAATTAGTTTCATTTCTGAATAGTTTTTTTTTTTTTTCATGTACAAAATGTATTCTTCCCTTGCAACAATAATACAAAATCAACTGCAAACAGATAAAACTAGCTCCATGAAAGTATTTTTAAAGCTGTTATTTTCCAAAAGCAACAATGATCAACTCTGGTTGCTGCAGGCTGGGTTCCGGTGGAGCGGAGCAATAAGCAGTATTGTTGGCACTCCTCTGTGGTCGATTACGAGGTCGGGGAAGCTCTTGTTCTGAAGCCCAGCTGCGACGATGAGAACATGTTGGAAATAACCGCAGTCCCATTGGCAGAGCTTCAGGAGCTGACGCTGGAGCTCATCGGAACCAATGTCAATGGAAACCCTTACGGTGAGGCAGCTCTGTGTTTACATTCAGGCTGCGGAGGGAAGGAAACTCTGCTCTGAACGCTGCAAAAACAATCAAAAATAAGTACAAGTGTATTTACCCTTAATTTGAGCAGTTGAATTAGATAATCTGCCAAAGGCATACGTAGTTCTACTCTTAAAATACGATAATTAGATAATATGCACTTGAAATAATGCAATGTATTTAATTTTTCTTATTTTACGTTTAAATTGTCGTGTTCCATTGGCCAAGTGTCTCATTTACCTCCGCAGTTCAAGAAAAAAATGCTCTCATTTTAAGTAAAAATTACTTCTTCAGATGTAAGTTTTTTTCAGTGAAGCATGCATCCATGGAGCGTAGACTCCTTTCTTCCTTAAGTTATTCCCTAAATGGTGCCTATTTAACCACTGGTTTAAAGGCTCTACTAGCCCAAGTAGTACTATTAACGGTATCGATACGGTACCTTAGCCATTCCTTTCTGAGTCAAAAAACAAAAGATGACCAGTTTATTTGGTAAACATCTACGACAAAAGCACAATAAATAAATAATATAAAAATAGCTTTTTTTCATGAAATTAATACAATAAGGGTTAATGCATAAAATAAAACTATCAAAAAGTTTCAGACAAGTATTCAAAAAAAGCCCTGTATTAAATGTACAAATATTTTATAGCCTTAACATTTGTTGCTTGTTTTAAACGCCACGATTAAACATCCTGCACTAATTAAAAGAATGCAAACTTATTTCACTGCTTCATATGTTTGCTTTGCGTACACACCTGCTGGATCTGACTGAGAGGCAGAGCTTGCTGATGAAAACCGCATCTTTGTATGTTGGGCACTCGGCGAAGTGTTTTTGACAAATGACATGCGTTCTCTCCTTTCCAAGCAAAGCTTTTATAACAGTAACTGCAGCAGGCGTTTTCAACATCAGTTTTGCAAAAATCAAGCTTTGGACCTTTTTGTTTTTTCTGCCTATAAATAAAATGATTTTATTTGTTTTTAAAACTCTTAATGGCCTTGCCCCTCCTTATCTGTCTGAGCTGTTAC